TTGTAATTGGAATAAGTTTGTAATTTATATCCAAAGAAGCCCCTGGAGGCTTCTTTAACAAATTAATAAAGATATGAACAAAACCTCACCTTAAAAAAAAAAAAAATAAAAAAAAAAAAAATAAAGAGAAAAGACTGATATAAGAAATCTAAACAAAGACATTGCAGTAAAGAATGTTTGTTATGATTTTATATCAAGAAGAAATGTAGTTCAAAATTCAAAAAAATTTGTGTTGGCTTCAAGAAAAATTGTAATATATGATCAATAAGTTAAAGCTAATCATGTTAAGAGACTTGTTGCAAATAGAATTACTAATGCTCTTTTACAAAAAATTAAGCTGAATGCATTTCAAAGAGTTTTTGAGAGTTTAGAAAATATATTGATTGAGATTATCTCTTATTTATTAAATATGACTTTGTATTACTTGCTCATAGATTGTGAAGTTGGTCTGAATAACAAAGTATAGTCAGTAAAAACTAAAAGATTCATCAAAAAACTAGATCAAAAAACAATAAATCTGATATTATAATTCATGTTTATCTTTATCAGAAATGAGAAGAAATTATATTCTTTAAAGGTGAAAAATAGGATGCTAATGAAGATAAGATTGTTCATGATTATAATAAGTTAACACAATTCTGTATAGCTGGATTCAAAAAGCTTGTAAAGAAGTGTTTAAAAAAGAACTTTTATAAAAATTATATAGAATTTGCTATTAATATTATAAATAAGTATCTTGAAATCCATGGCTTAATAAAGAAAAAGAAGGTAATATATTATTTTCCTATTAATAAAGTAAAAATACCTTTAGACAAAAAAACAGTTAAAGAAGCAAAAAAGTTTGTTCATGCTTTATTAATTTTGTAAATAAGCATTCTTTTAACTTTATTAATATATATATTTTTATTATGTAGTGTTTCTAATATAAAGAAAATTCACAATTTTTAGAATGGACTTATTGTAAATTTGCAGAGCATTGTAAATAGTTCTCAAAAAAGATTGAAAAAATAAAGCACTGTAAATTTACTTTATATAGAATAGCATATTGTATATTTTATTTTTATAACAATAAAGCTGATTCTGATAGCTAATTTTATATAAATAATCGCATTTACTTTTGTATATATATTTTAGAAATTTATTTATTGTATTATAGACTATATTTTGATTTTGTATTTATTTTTGCAGATATGAATAAAAATTTTTTTCTTGACAAAAATAATCTGCATTATGAAAAGTAATATGCATATTATTTTTATTAATTTAAAATTTAAATATATTCATATTTTATAAAAATAATAAAAAATATTCAAATTATTAATTCATTAAGAAAATTAAATACTAAACTCTTAACTAAGATTGCCAAGCTTAGAAAGGAAAATAATAAGATTCCTGAACTTGAAAAGAAATTTGCTAAAATTAATGCTAAGAATATGAAGTTGAAGCAAATTATTGAAGAGAATGCAATATGTAATGTTAAGAATGCCAAACTCAAAGCAAGGATTAAGAAGTTTGAATCTGAGAATGTTGAGTTTAGAGATAGAATCATGAAATAAAACAGAAGCAGATGCAAAATGACCCAAAGGAAAATAATTCTAATAACAGTTTATCTAACTTTAATTTGGTTGCAGATCAAGCTAACTTGCATTATAAGAAACTGTTAGCAAATAAGAAAATAGATACTTTATTACCAAAAGAATCAATTTCAAAAATAATTACAAAGCAATCAGTATTAGCTGTTAATATATTTGTTATGAACTAATGTAATTAGATGTCTTTAAAAGATAAGAAAGCAAATGCTTTCTTGAATGAAGTATATAAGAAAAAGATTAGTGATAAGATTAGACAATGAATAAGAAGAGGAAACTTCAAGCCCAAGAGTCTCTTTCAATATCTTCTAAAAAGAAAAGATCTCAAGTTCTTAACTCGATTACTCAACTATGCAATAGCATATCATTGAAAGCATTAGCTAATTTAAATGACAGAGAAATATCTTCAGAAGAAAAGATATGTAGTGAACAGAATTCAAAATGCAAGAAAGAAAAAAGTGTAAATAAGCTTAAGCAAAAATCATTTGCTTTAGAGTTGTTTACACAAGATTTATTAATGAAAGAAAATCAGCTAAAAGGCATAAAGCATATGATCAAAATTTTTAAGACATTTTATTTTGAAAAACTTATTTTAATAACAAATTTAGCATTTATGAGGCCTCATATCATTTAGCTTAGTTGTGCAATAAAGCTTTTGATGCTAAATATAAAGCAAATTAAGCTAATTAGGAAGAAATTTTATACTAGTGCCTCTATATAAAGAATTTTATAATTTGGCTCAATAGAATTATAAAAAATAGCAGAGGTAAATTTAGTAAAAAGAAGGCAAGAGGCTTACTGTATAATTCTATTACAAAACAGCTTAATTTGCTTTATAAACAGAGATTTCAAGAAATAGGATTATGACTTCAAGATGTATCACAAGATAGTTTATGCAAGAAAACTCAAAAAGCTAAGAAAGTTTATAAATTTATTGAATAAGTAGACTTAGATAAAATCAAGTATATTTAACTTTTTATTCATCTTGGCTTAGTAATCTTAGCCAACTCTAATATTATATGGCCTCATACAATTAGTAATAAAGGCTAGTCACTAGAATTAATCTTATCTTAGCATTCTAAATACTCAATTTTTAAAAAACAACTTAGACAATCTAATATTATGTATCTCAAACAACTCTGCACAGCTGACAATAGTATCTTATTAAATTAGAAACATCTTTCACCTAGACTTTTATTCTTGTCTAAGAAAAGAAAACCTCTTTGGTTTTCCTATTTAGAAGATACAATTTTAGCACACTCTTACTACTGAAATATACTACCACACTACCAATTACCTAGTTATAACCCCTATGCTTAATACACCATTAATATATCTAAAAAACTTACAAAATCTAAACTTTGGCTACTTTTATATCACAATGAAGAAATTATTATTGAAAAAATATGAAAATACTTTTTCTCATCTAACTATTACTTTATTATTCACTGAACTTCCAATATAGATTTAAATTACTCAAAATTCTATTCTTTAACTTCTGCTGAATACAACCAATGTACAGAATGCTATCTTAATTCTCACAGAATTAACCAAACTTGTACTGTTGAAGTTTCTGCAGTTATTTTAACACAATTTTTTGGCAGAACTAATTTCAAACATCAACTCAACCTCAATGCAAATTACTTGGACCTTATCTGCTCTACAGCTGTTAAGCATTCAACCTATATTTCTCCTTTATTTATAATTTCTATTTCTAATTCAATTGCTTTTGAAATCTTTATTCCAAGTAAAACTACTAACAAACTCATAACTATCTCTTAACATAACTACTCTTATCAACAATTATCCTTTTATACCAATGGCTTAGTAATTGACATTGGTACTGACTAATGCACAATGGGTATTGGTTAGATCTAAGTTGATAACAATAATCAAACTATTAACTTCTTTTCTGCCAAAATACAATTTTGGCCCTTATTATATAAAGCTAAGTTTCTCTTAGTTATTACTGCAATCTTAACAGCTTCATACAATTCTGTAGTTAATATTTTTACTGATTCTCAATCAGTAATTTCCAAATTTAACAACCTTCAATTTTACCCAAATCATCCTAATAAGCTATTCAAATTTAGCTTATGGCTCATTTGATACACTCTTTCTAATATTATTAAATCACACAAATTACAAATTATTTTTCACAAAGTGCAAGCTCACTTAGATAATAATCTTAATGAGCAAGCAAACTCTCTTGCCAAACAACATTCATTATTACCACTTCTTTCATTTAATTACACAAACCTTTATAATTCTTATCATATTCTTCAATAGAAACAACACTACATAGAACTTCCTACAAGATATTTTATTAAGCAAATATGTAAAGCCCACATACTAGCTATATGGGCATCTCAAAAATGTAATATTAAGTGGTTATACTTCAATCAGGATATTGACTAAAGATCCACTTGGCTCTATTTTAATCATAATTAAAAACCTTTATACAATATTACTAATTTTAGACTCAACCAACTAAAATCCTTTAAAATTAAAACTCTTCTTAATGAGTTACCAACATATTAACTATTTCATACTATTTACTCAAACCAATATCCAGATACTAATTGCTTCCACTATAATCTAGCTAACTCTTACTCTCACTGATGTACTTGTGCTAATACACTTTTGTTAAACCAAATTATGCAAACATCTACCAATTAAACTATCTCTAGCAAATTACCTAATTTTAACACTTACCAAAAAAATGATATAATTCATAAAATCCTTCATCACCTAGTTTTCAACTTTTTATACATCTTATCTAACACATTTTATTCTAACCTTATTCTCAAAGGACTTATTCTAAAGTCACTCATATCAATAGTTCAAAACTTCGACATATTATACAAAACTGTCTCACAAGTTATTATTGATATTCTTCTTAATATTAATAAACAATCATATAAACAATTATAGAAATTATATTGCATTTATTTCTCAAACTGGAAAAAATAACAAAATAAAACTCAATCTCAACCAATCAACAAACCTTCAATATTATTTAACTCAACAACTAGGCATACATATTTCTATAGAAACTATACTTACTCATGCCTCTGTGAACTTCCAGATCAACTATATACTTACTCTAATACATGCTCTTTTATTGGCCAAGCAACTTGCAAAATCAACATTTGGTTTATTCTATGGATTAAATATAGTATATCATCAATTTATATACTAAATATTCAAATCTAGGTGAGCTTTGACTATTCTAGTAGGTTTAGGTCATAGATAAATTAGTTTGAGCTTTTATTCTTACATGTAATTTTCAATTTATTTGTTTTGTACAAATAGTAGTAGCTATATAGTTAGCAGTTTAATGGTTAATTCTAACTGCAAGTGTTGGCTTCAGTCATAGCATATATATATGTAACTATTTTAAATTATTAATAAAGATATAAGCAAGGCCTTACCTTAATATCAAAATAAAATAAAAAAATAAAATCAAGTATATTAAATCTTATAGTGCAACTTTTATTTCAGAGCTTACTAATGAACAAATTCAAGAGGTTATAGATTATAGAATATCTTCAGAAAAATTACCTCTGGTAACAGATTATGCAACTGAAATTTTTGAGACATTATGTCTCAAAAAAATCTCATTTATACTTAAAAAAGATTTATCATTCACACTAGCTAAGGCAGATATTGCTTTACAATTAGTTAAGATAGGTAATAACCCAGATTCTAATAAATCAATAGACTTGAACCACCCAATTCATATCATTCTCTTGTATAAAGAAATTGCTTAATTAGAGTGAATTTCTAATTCTTCAGATAATTCAGCATCCACATCTTAAACAAAGATGGAATATTATAATAATAATATGTATTTTAATAAAGAGGTTGTTTTACAATTAGGTAAAGTAGAGTTGGGCTAAAGAGGTTTGAAGAATCAGACACTTTTATATTATAATAGTTATGATAATAATTTTGAAAAAAAGATACCAGATTAATCAAATAAGGATAAATATAATAGATATGATAGATATAATAAATATAGTAAATATGATAAAAGTTATTATTATAATTTAAGTAGTAGAAAAAAACTTATAAAAGTTTTGATTATATAATTAGCACATATTAATACATGATACTAGAATTTCAGTAGTAACTATAATAGTATAAATTAATAAAATTAACTCAATAATTATTATTAATAAATAATTACAAATTATATTGTAAAAAATTGTATAAAAATAAAAAATAGTAAAGTCTAACTTCTTTCTTTATTTAATAAAAAATTGTTACTAAAACAATAATACACAAATAAAAATATTTTTATTTATATAATAAAAAAATACATTGCTATTACATAATGCAAATATCAGAAAAAATATTATTTCTTTGGTTTTATGATAATATGAACTTGGTCTGAATTAAAAGTTCTATTTTTAAAATAATTAAATATTTCAGCTATTAAATTCTTAGAAATAATAATATAGAGATCAAAATCTTGATAATTTTGATTTTTTAACAAACCCTTAATGCCTTGTTTAAATACTGCAATCTTATCTTTCTTGTATATCTGAATAGTAATATAGTTGTTATTTTAAAAAAGGCACTTAAGGTTAATAGGATTTGCAGTAGACATTTTACATTTCTAAAAGCAAAAATGTAAGTAAAAATTTATTTTTCTTAGTCTCTGTTAAATGGTATATTACTTTAAAAATAAATTACAAGCAAGTGAACTAAGTAAAAATATATATAAGCAAAAAATAACATTATTGCTAACTTATCTTGTAAGTGAGAGCTTGCTTTTTATATATTTCATATTTGTTTGGTCTAAGAACCTGCCAGAAAGAAAAATACACAATTAGTTATTATATTATTCAAATTTAATGCTAGCTTTTTTCTATATAAAGCAACTCTGCTCAGTTATAAGTTTCAAATACTGTTCTAATTTGTTATTTTTTTAGTGAAATTAAGCCTTTTATAATTATTAATCATTTAAGGTAGATTTAGATCTAATAATTTTAGAAATACAGAGATTTCAAATCTCTATGACATAAATTTAGATAAAACTATTAATAAAAAATATTATACTCATTATTCTTATAGTCCTTTTAAGTCTCATTTTTATCATAGAATCATATATTAGGTAAGAAAAGATTTTAGATACTATTTATATTAGTGCTACTTATTAACTTAATAAAAAATTAACTATGAGAAAATAAGGTAACACTGTATAAATTTTAATGCAGATCATTAATTATTAAAACTAGACAAGTTTTTATCATTTATTTCTGCATTCTAACTAATAAGTTAAATATCAAGCTATTTTAGTCTTAATCTAGGCCAAAATTAAAAAATAGTTCTGCAATAATAAATACTTATTTTTTCTAATATATAAAAATTAAATTAGCATTACATAGTTGTATTAAAATAGTACACATATTTGTTTATGAGTATCAGTATGCACTATTTTTTAAATATTTACAGATTTTATTCTGAATTTATATTATTATATATTAATAAATATTTATTATTGCTATTTTTATAAAAAAAAATTGAGAATCAGATCTTAAGATCACCAAATCATTTATCGAAATAGCAAATATAGATACAAATATTTATAGCTAGTCTACTAACTGCTTCTTAAAAACAAATATA